ATATAATACTTAATGAAACTGTTTCATGTATTTCTCTAACATTAATGAAACTGTTTCATGTATTTCTCTAAAATTAAAATTATGAAGATGATAATATCTATGATTAACACCCTCCACAATAAAAATGATTAATCAACCTCTCATAATTACAAAAAAATAAACAAAATAAAAAATTATGATTGGTTGAATGCGGTTTGCACGGTTTGTACAAATTGAATGGTTTGCATTTGATCGCTCCCCCCTATATATAAACACACGTACAAATTCAAAATAATTCATCAAGAACAATTAATGACACCTATAATTTACAACAAAATGATACATAGAGGAGCTCCAATAGAATCTTATTTCAAAATAAGAATATAAAACTAAAATTTGTAAAAAAAATTACATTTAACTTCAACAATATTTATTATATTATCAAAATATTTAATACATTACTAAAATATTGTTATTATCTCATGAATATTTAGGTTCAATTTCTCTAATTGATAAAAATAATATAAAAAAGGTTATTTCTCTCTTAGTCTTTTATACAATCATTTTTAAAGATTTCTCCAAATTCGAAAAATATTACCATCTCTCCTACTTTTTTCAATATGGTAAAAGTTTTGAAAAATTTACCGTATCAAAAAATTAGCTCAAAATCTCTTTTTTTTCTTAATTTTAAAGAATCTATTATTCAAAACTGATAAGTTGTGAGTGAGCCTTTTATTAAGCTGCTAACAGACATGCTAAATATGTACATATAAAAGGCTAGATATGACACTGTACATAATTAGCACATGACGAAGATTTGCTTAATTGATTAGTTGGGCCGATCAGAAGGTGACTTGTGACTAGAAATCTTTCTCAAATTTAGTATGATTCACTCATCTGGTTTCTTTAAACTAAGACGTACAGTAAATTATGTATTTACATACTAATTGCATATGAAGATGAAGTCATGCTAATAATTATGCATAAATACTATTCATATGTGATAATTAACTTGTATTCAAAGTCGCATAAATACTGTTGTGTAGTCGGACGATTCATCAAGGCATTGGTTCTGCATGTTCGTACATCTAGCTAGTACTTCATCTGCTAGCATATTACGGTTTGTAGGACAAATATGTCGACATTCCATGTAAAAGTATTTGAATTCATGAATTGAGCAATCAAAATTCGTCGTTGCAGTTTTAAAAATGCATCTTACCTTTTTTACATTTATAATAATTTTTTTTAATTAACCTGAATATCCAACCCACTATGTAAGCTGACTAATCTTAGGGCCTGAAGTCACCAACCAAAAATTAATGCAATATATAAAAATAATTTTTTAATTCTATATTTTGTCCATGAGAATATAATTAATAATTACATGTAATTATATATAAATTAAAAATAATATAAAATTAATTAATATTTCTCATCCCCACTCCAATTATTTTTCATTTGAGGGCCTGCAGGACCTTCTTCACCCAATATCTCATGTGGAAGACCCTTCACAAATTTGTCAAATGGACCTCGTAACACCCTCGGCAAAACCCTCCTCACTTTCCTAATCTCCTTGTTAATATCGTAGCTTATTTTTGGACCCCATTTTCTACTGTAGTTCAACCACGGTGGCTCCGCCACCACCCCCGCCCCCAAATACTCCGCTGCCACCACCGTCGCTCTCACTCCGGTGTCCATCACTGCCTTTCCCTTGGTGGTGTCGTTTCGTATTCCGATCCCGCCACTCCCTTGCAAAATGAGTCCTGGTTTTGCATAAAACGCGTGGCCATGCAATGATGCATAGGCCACGGGTTTATTTCCGTTTTCAAATTCTATTTCCGAGGAATTAATCAATTGTCCTCCACTATGTTCCGAAAAGTAAACACTTTTCAACTCTCCGTTGTAGTTACTGACCCTTAACGTTAAATGCTCCCAATCGCCAACATGTTCACCAATTTTTCCTAACGAAGCATTAATGATTTCCACTTTTACCCTTGCCGGACCGTTAAAAGGGTAGAATACCCACAAGGATATATCGGTAAATGTCGCCCCAAACATCGGTTTTACGTGGAAATAGGCACCCGCATGTTCCAAATCACCTTTCTTGACCCTTTCTTTAGCGGATTTGTCAATAGGGAGATCTAACCAATACGAGTCATCGTTGGACCCACCTTGAGGTAGGTTCGAGCCATCCGGCTGAACCACGCTAGGTTCGGACTCTTTGCCTTTCTCATACAACAAAGCTCCATTTTGGAAGAACCAAGTGACTGAAGAGGGAAGGTAGTTCTCATTAGGGTGAAAGTAAACTCTAGGTGAGTAAGCTTGAATCAATGCTTCAATTTGGGACAAATTGGGCATGGCCAAAAGGTTATTTTTGGTATTTCGCAAGCAATAAACTAGTGACACGTCAGCATTTCCACCACCATTTTGGACTATAAATGAGCCTGTGGACACACCAAGGGCATTGACACCCCTATCTTTTGGCCTCGAGTCATAAAGATTGAAGTTGTTTGTATTGATTTTCTTGTCTAACCCCCAAATCCATGAATCAACTTCAACAGCATCGGTGAAATCTGAGCGGACACACCGGACTTTTTGAACGGAGGGTTTTTCCGGCGAGTTTGTGACAACATAACCGACGGCTTTGTAGCCTTCGGGAGGTGTAGGCAACCAAATGTAGCCGTTGCCACCATCTTGTTTTAGTTTATAAGATTCACTGCTCCAAATAAGAGAATAATCTGTTGGCATGGCTAGAGAGCTTTGATTTGCGCCATTTTTTCCGGCGAGAATCCATCCATATAAAGGCCGATTGTTGGATTGGGAGTAGCAGCCGAGCATCACGAATCCGTCGGGTATTGAAGACGGTTCGTAAAATGTCGTGCCGAGGTTGTTCGGTCCTCCTTCAAGAGCAGCCCAGATTTTGTTGAATGAAGAGATTTGACACACTTGTAATCCTCCTAAATCAATCGTCCCAGTTGCAAAGCCATCTCCTACGATCATATTTGACAACACAAAAGCAACTACTTGTTAGAATGCCTAAAAATGCTCGTTTATTGTGACTGATTTATATAGGATTTACGTTTATAAGATCAAGCAAACAAAAATTATTCTATCTAAAAGTGTTACAATAGGTTTATAGGATGTTTTTAGATGTTTTAACAAGTTTTTAGAACACTTTTAAAAATTAAAATGTCGTATAAAGTATTTTATATGATACTTTTGAAAAGTGTCGTATAAACTTATCTTTTTATGCGACACTTTTTCAAACAATGTCATAAAATAACTAATACGATACTTTATTTTTTTAAAAATGTCATAAAAAACCTGTTAAAACGTATAAAAGAGTCTTATAAATTTATTGTAACACTTTAGATGAGACGATACCTTTTTATTTGGTCTTATAAATATAAATACTATAAATTATTCTAGTAATTAGAATCCTTAAACGTTTTAGTGACAACATACAAGTTTAATTTTAGCCATTTCAATCCAGAACAAGAATATTAATTATACTAAAAGGTTTACCCGTTGGTAATAAAATTCATGATATATAATTGCTTTATTTGTACAAATTGTATTCAACCGATTATAATTTTTCAATTTGTTGATTTTTTTTTTGTATTTATGAGAGGTTGATTAATCATTTTTATTGTGGAGTGTCTTAATCATGAATATTATCATCTTCATTATTTTAATTTTAGAGAAATACATGAAACAGTTTCATTAAAATTTCATAAGTATTATATATATGAAACAATTTTATAACCATATATGAAACAACTTCATTAAAAAAAGTATTATACTCTCTCTCTCTCTCTCTCTATATATATATATATATATACACACACACTGTGAATCATGTGAGATCAAGTTATTTTCGTGGGATCAGAGTGGCTTGGCTTTGCATTGAAGTTACAAGTGTAAAAATATGGTCTCATAAAAACAACTTGGTCTCATGTGATCCAAACCGAGATATATATATATATATATATATATATATATATATATATATAATAAACCTTGGAATGAATTATGTATATCGAAGATTACATACCTGGAGGAAAGTTGGGTATGGATGAAGGAAGCTTGAACGTGGATTGAATAGGCAAAGGCTGCTGCTTATCTTTCTTGAACATATTTGGAACTAAATCGGATAAAAATCCCATTTCTTTTTGTGTTAAATTTGTTGATGAAACGAATTGGAAGAATGTGTTTATATATAGAAACATAATTTATGCTGTTAATGTAGTGAAAATGTGTAGAATCGAAAAGAGGGCAGCAGGAGAAGTGCATAGCGTGCAAGGTATCGTCTTATTTGGTTAAGTTGTCGGGTAAGCCGTCCAAGATACCATCAACCCCACTACATACAAAATCAAATAAATATCTCATATATATTCTCACCCCGATAATTAAAGACAAACACTAAGAGGGTGTTTGGAATCGCTTATTTTAGATGTTTTTTTGACTTATTTTAATCTGGCACCGATGATAAGCTAAATGTTAGTGTTTAGATGAGGAAAAATAAAACAGCTTATACCAGTGTCAAATCGACAATAAGCTGTTTTTGATAAGTTAATCCTTCCTGACTTATGAAAAACTGTTTATTACCAGTTTACCATTTTAACCATGTTTTATTAATGTTTATTAATCATTAATCTTATTGATATAAATTATTAAATCTTATTAATATAAATTTTTGTTAAAGATATTATTATAAATGATGAAAAATAAATTTTTACATGGTAAAAAATCAAATAAGTTAATAAGCAATCCCAAACACTTCCATAAGTCAATAATATGAAAGAGTGTCTTTTTTGGTCATTTTACATATACAAACAAAATTTGTCAAACACTAAAAAACAACTTATCTACTTTTTGGTACCGCTATAAGCTAATCCAAACACTTTTTATAAAACTCCGGTTTGATACCTCATAAGTTAATAAACACTTTTACAAAAAAACATAAGTTGTTTTAAATAAGCAATCTCAAATACCCCCTAAATTCTGATAGAACATGTCATTATTCTTTTCTATCAATCATATGAATACATATCATTATTTTATTTGAAATTAGATAGATTTACGTTAAATAAAATGATATATTTTCACGTAGTTGGTGGGACATGATGGAGATACGGAATTTAAAGAAACTAGATGTTTATTCCAACGTCTTTTTATGGTTTTCTTGTAATTTTTCAAAAGAGAATAAACGGGTATTACGTAATCATGATCGTTTTCCTTGCGATACAAAACCAAAGGAATGGGAAACTTACATCATTTGTAAAAAATTGCAAAATGTGTGTTTACGAAATAAAAATCACTTGTTACCGTTCCCTTTTCAAGTTTTCTTCCATGTTCCGTAATAAAATTTCAACGTGTAAATGTTGGAGTTTCTAATGCATGCTCGTAGAGGTATGATTATGTAAATGTCGGGATATATATTTAAATTAAATGGCGGTGAAAGAGAAAAAAGATGATGTGTCGACGTCTTATTAAAGAGACATTCAGGAAATAACGAAAGTGGGGCTTTCTTTTCCATGTTTATGACACGAGTGTATATGCAAGTGAACATGAGCTCATCAGTTAGCCGTAGACCATAGGATACGACTATGATGGTTCGACCACGGTCATAGTAACATTTTTCTTGAAACTGGTTCATTCTAATAAATTTATTTTATCAGATGTTTTTGGTGCTAAAAACGTATTTTGATATCTGATGTTGATATTGATTATTTTTGGGTTGCCGTTTGAGGCTCTTGTGGCGGTTTTTGTGTCATTTTTTTTCTGTAGTATTTTAAAAGGTGTTAGGACGGCTTTTTTTCCCTTTATATTTCTTTGTTTCTTCCTTGTGGTATTATTAGTTCCATTATTTATTACATTTATTATGGAGAAAATTCATCAATCTGTTTTTATTTTTTATTAGTAATTCATATAAATTAAAATTAAAATTAATGATGCATGATTTTCGATCGAGGCAATAATGCATTTCAGTCCCTGTGGTTTGAATATGCGGTTTTGGTCGAGCCGGAATCAGTGGTCTTTTGTGATTTGGGTTTGGCTGGCGATCCTCTGTTGCGAGTTATGGTTAGGGGTGAGCAGCGGAATCGGGTACCC